TGGAGAGATTTATTACTACAATTCATGATACCCATTTGGAGACAAATTATGTTGTTGTTGACCTGTGGCAGTCAGAAACTCACAGCAGTATGGCTTAGTTTTAGATAGAGGTGTTGGAAAAATTACCACAAAATTAAAAATCATCACTATATAGGCTTGAAAAGCAAAATTTTCTTGGAAAGAAAACAAATTTTTATGTAAATCATAATAACCCCAACATGAAAGCAACTAGGCAAAACTGTATACTTAATATAATATACATTTATGTTGGGATATATGCAGGTGCTTTGTCAGGATATGGAAAACACAGTATTGCTAATATACATGTTATGAAAACAATTGACCGTTCTCAAAAAGACATTCACAAGCCTCCTTCAAATATAATATAGCATCAAATAAGACAATATCTTGTCATACAGAGTATGGAGTGTACACACCAACACAATTCAAAGCAAAGCTAGTGGGAAATCCCAAAAATTCAAAGGCTGTTACCAAAATTTACTTTTTCATAATCTATTCCTCCCAATTGTAAAAATAAAACAAAATAAATACTGCATAGATACTAGCCCTACTGGGAAGTGAAAAATACACTTCAATTAACCTTGTTTAATTAAGAACCACTATATGTTAAGTTTAAAAACATTGGCATACCCAAAAACATATTATGTCAACTCCATTTTTTTCATACTAAAGACCACAGATACGTACATACATCAGATACTTACAAATAATTTATTGAAAAACAGAACAAATACACTTTAGGCTATTTCCATCCGGGAATATATTTTCAGAAAATTAATGAAGAAATATTGACATCAAAATTTTCAGGGCCGGGGATTTAGCTCAGTGGTTCGGTGGCCTGCCTTGCAAGCACAAGGACCCAAGTTCAATCCCGGGTACCAAAAATAAAAAAACAAACAAAATTTTCATATTATTTCTACAGGTCTTCATTACATAGGGAATTTTCACAGGAAAAAAAAAAATATATATATATCATTTCTCCCCCATGGGACTTCTTTCATGTATTTAACAATACCTGCGTGTGCCGAATGCTCTCTACATTGCTTACAGAGGCTTTTCCCCCAGTGGCACCTTGTTCATGTGTTTGATAGTGTATGAGAAGAAATTTTCCACACATTTCTTACATAGTTACTTTGCAGTGTGGATTTTTTTGTGTATAAAACGAGATTGCATCAAATCTTTTCCCACACTGCCTATATACACAGTTTGTCTCCGGGTGTCTTCTTTCATGCATTTGATGGCACTTTGGTGTACTGAGTGCTTTTCCACATTATTCGCATACATAGGGATCTTCACCAACAGGAATTTCTTCATGTGTTTGACCACTACTCCCCTGGATGATAAACATAGTTTCTCTTCATTATGACTTCTTTTGTTTATTCGAAAATACTTTTGTGTAGGGTAAGTTTTCCCTCACTGTTCACATACATACAGTCCCCATAGTGTGAGTACTTTCCTGTCTGACAGTGACTGAATGTGCTGAATGCTTCCCCATTGTTTACATCCATAAGATTTATCTGTACAGTAATTTATGTCATTTATATTTCATAACAACTCTGTGTAGTGAGTGCTTTTCCACATTGCTTACATGCATAAGGTTTCTCCCCAGTGCAAGTTCTTTCATGACTTTGACAGTGACTGTGTGCTGAAAGCTTTTCCACATTGCTTACATTCATAGGACTTCTCCCCAGTGTGAGAGCTTCCATGTCTTTCAAATGAGGACTTATCAGCAAAGCCTTCTCCACTTTGCTTACATACATTGGGTTTCTCCCTGGTGTGAGTTAATTGATGACTGTGACACAGACTGTGTGGTGAATGATTTCCCACATTGTTTGCGTACATAAGGTTTATCTCTAGTTTGATTTTCTTCATGTATTTCATAACAGTTCTGTGTACTGAATGCTTTTCCCATTGCTCACATACATAAAGGTTTCTGTCCAGTGCAGTTTATTTTACCTTTGTGAAAGGAATGACTATGAGATAATGCTTTCACACATGCCTTAGTTACACAGGGCTTCTCTCCAGCTTGCTTTCTTTCATTTACTTGAATATAGTATGAAGACATGCAGGTATTCTCTTGTTTGTACACATATGAACTCCCCACACCATGATTTCTTTCCTGGGTGTGCTGGAGCCTTTCACATTTTTGTTTACCTAGGAGTTTTCTCCCTAGGCTGAGTTTGTTCACTAAGCTCAGAATAGGCTTTCACACGTGCTCATGTTGACATTCTCTCCAGTCTTTCTCATTTCATGTTTTGAAAGGACTGGAAATCACTGCGGGTTTTACCATGATCACTACATTTATACAGCGTGTCTTCAAATCTCAAATACTTGTCTGCATCGTTTCTTAGGTTTCTTGAACAGTTTTTGTTTTGTTCTTCCATTTGCTGGCTACCACAGGTTCTTCCACCGCATGACTTGTGGGTCCCTCAGGGTCCTTTGAATGTAGCTCACAGCCAGTAGAAATTACAGAAAAAGGTGGTCTAGTTAGCTGGGGAGTTTTTGTAGCCCCACTCACGGTGTACACTTTGGCACCATGATACAGGAAGAGCTTCAGTACTTTCTGTTTTGATAGGATAGTATGTTTTAAGAGCTTAATATTGGGCTGGGGATGTAGCTCAGTGGTGCCACTCCTGCCTGGCAAGCGCAAGGTCCTTAGTTTGATTCCCAGTGTGTGTGGGGGGCGCTTATGAATATTTGATGTGAAAACTAGAGTCTTTAAATTTTGAATAAGATAAGCTGTTATCTGGAACTTTCTAGTCCCAGCTCTTTGAGGTATCTCCATATTGATTTCCATAGTGGTTGCACCAGTCTGCACTCCCACCCACAATGGGAAAGGGTTCCTTTCTCCCCACAACCCCGCCAACATTTGTTATTGGTTGATTTCTTGATAGCAGCCATTCTTTGTGGGGTGGGGTGGAATCTCAGTGTTGTTTTCATCTGCATCTCTTGAATGACCAGTGATGTGGAACATTTTTTCATATATTTGCTTGCTGCTTTTACTTCTTTGTCTGAGAAATGTCTGTTCATTTCAGATGCCCATTTTTGAATTGGGTCTTTATATTTGGAGGGGCTGATTGTTTTGAGTTCTTTATATATTCTAGATAAGAGCCCTGTGAGGAGCAGCTGGTAAAAATTCATCCCTTTACTGGGTATCTTTCCAAAAGAATTAAAAGAATCATAACAGTGATATTTATGCACACCAATGTTTATAGCAGCACAGTTTGTAATAGCTAAAGCTTGGAAACAGCCCATTTGCCCATCAGTTGGGAAACTGGATAAAGAAGATGTGGTTTTTCTATAAAATGGAATACTACTCAGCCATAAGGAATGAGAAATTAGATTCATTCATAGGAAAATGGATACATATTGAGGATAGACTCCTAAGTGAAATCAGTAAGTCACACATGTGTAAATACCCAATAGTTTCTCTGGTGTGAAAAACTATAATAGTACATAAGATCCTAATGAGATAATTGACAAGGTGAAATAGGAAGAAAAGGGCTAAAGGTGTAGGGAAAGTAGGAAGGGTAGGGGAAAGGTAATGAGGGAAAAGAAAAAAATATGAGAAAATGAAAAAACGGAAATAAAGAGTTTGTAAATGGGGAGGGGAGGAGGGGGTGAAGGGAGGGCAGGGACAAGGGGAAAAAATGAGAACCAAGACCTGTCATGTAAAGGTACAAGATCCCAATGATGAGTGTAACTGTACTGTATGCCTAAAATGTACCAATAAACTAAAAAAAAAAAGCTGTTATCACTCAGTCATGGGACCTCAATAGAAATATCCATTAGAAATCTGGTATAGATTTTAAAAAGGGTTCTCAGAAATTTGTATGCAATTATTTTTCTTTTAAATTTCAGGTAATTTTAACTTCCTGTTACTGATCTACGATTTAATACATCCTTTCTTTATTCAAGCATTCCTGGAATTCCTCCAAAGTTTTATCGCTGTAATGGTAGTACTATTTAATATACATTGGTCATTAATGTGCCCATGCACTATGATGCCATATCACAGTATCTTCAGGTTTTACAGTGGCCTCAAGGGAGATATTGCTGTGTCCCCATTTTATAAGTGAAGTGAATAAAATGGCTCAGAGACTCAGAGTGGCATGTCCATGTCTCAAGTAATTGAGCTCATTCAAAGCCAAGTCCTTTGAGCTCTATAGTTTGCCATTAAGAAAACAGGAAAACCAGACTCAAAGACATCCTTGATGTTAATCTGCCTTTTTTAAGAAAAATCAGTGACGATCCTTGTTGAAGTTTTTAACTACCTTTAAAAGTCACCTCAGAAGAATTTAGGCACAAAAGAAGTTGCTTCTGTCCCCTCCAATTTGAGCTTTGTCGGTCTTTAAGAAGAGAGATGAGACACTGTGATCATTCCTTCAAGGTCCAGAACTTTAGCAAAGTGATTATACTATTTGATGAAAATATTTCTGTCATGTACTATTGTTAAATATTTCTGAGGGACTTGGGTTAAAATTCTCATCACGTTTTTACATTGATGATTTTAGAGTTGGTGGAGATGTAACTGAATAGTCCTCCACAAAGTGCTCTCATACCTGAATTTTTTTTTTTTTTTTTTAACCAGGGATTGAACTTGGGTCCTTGCGCTTGCAAGGCAGGCCATTGAACCGCTGAACTAAATCCCTGGCTCACACCTGAATTTTGAGGTCGTCTTTCTTTGTGTCACGATTTTAGACAGCCTTTCTTTACTATCTACTACTTCTCTTGCTGTTGCAAGATTATTTTATCCTAAAATGCTGTGAATTAGGAAATCAAAACCATTAGAGGTTGCTTAAATGAAAAAAAGTTGAGTTCAAATAGGACTGGAGGGAATGATTTGTGTGCTCATAACATGAACATAATTGTGTTTATATATTGAGCACGTCAAGTTTTGTGTTATGTATTTTCGCTGATTAGATGAAATGGAGAAACAACTGACATTGTGTCTGACATTTCTCCTCTTTTCACAACAGAGAAGAAGATACAGAAAATGAAAATGAGAAGAAGATCTGGTACTACAGCACAAAGGTCCAGCTTGAAGAATTAATAGACTGTCTAGACAAAGATTACTGGGAAGCAGAACTTTGCAAAATTCTAGAAGAAATGCGTGAAGAAATCCACCGGCACATGGATATAACTGAAGACCTGACCAATAAGGCTCGGGGCAGTAACAAGTCTTTTCTAGTGGCAGCTAACGGTGAGGGGGAAGTTTTGAAATCTCTACAAAACTTGAGCATATAGTAAGATGTCCCAGGTTATATGTATTTTACTTTAATTCTCTATATTTTATTTTCCTAGGATAGCTTCACTCTTAAGTTAGGGATGCTATACATTTTAGTAATTTTTTTTGTTGTTGTTTTGGTCATTACTAATATTCCTCAGTTTGTTTCTTTGCTTGTTTATTGGTGCTAGGGATTGAAACCATGGCCTCACATGCAAGGCAAGCATTCTACCATTGAACTGTGCTTCCCAAGCACACTTCTACTTTTAATTATAGAAATTATATTCTGGCCAGATGTGGTGTACTCCTATAATCTCAGTAGTTGGGCGGCTGACACAGGAGAATTGTTGTGAATTTGAGCCCAGGTTGGGCTACATGGTTCAAGGCCAGCCTGATCTACAGTGAGAGACCATGTCTCAAAAAAAAGAAGAGGACAAAGAAGAAAAGTAAAAGAAATGATATCCTCTCTGAACTTACTCTTTGCTTTCTTTTTTTTTTTTTTTTTTTTTTAAAAGAATGAAACCTTTAAGCTGGCCATGGTGGCACACACCTGTGATCCTAGCACTAGGGAGGCTGAGGCAGGAGGATCACTGTGAGTTCAAGGCCAGCCTGAACTACATATTAAGACCCTGTCTTTAAACAAAACAAAAAAACAGAATAAAACCTTTAATTTTGGAATAGTTTAGATTTATAGAGAAGTTGCATAGCTCAGTGGTAAAAGTATTTGCCTAGCATTCCTTGGGTCGATCCCTAGCATTGCCAGAAAGAAAAGCAAAAAAGATAATTCAGAATCCCCACAAAGGCTTTAACATCTTGCTTGTGTAATGCATTTCTCAGAGCTAGTGAATCAGCGTTGATACCTTGTCATTAAGTAAAATTCATACTTGATTCAGATTTCCTTTTTTTTTAAACTAATGTCCTTTTTCTGTCTGATCTCATGTAGGACATGTCTTCCTCTAGACTGACAGTTTTTTTAGTTTCATTGTTGTTTTTGTTTTTTGTTTAGTTTTGTCTTTTGAGACGGGGTTTCGCTATTAGTTCAGGCTGGCCTTGAACTATATACCCCAGGCTGGCCTTGAACTGTTGAAAATCCTTCTGCCTCAGCCTCCCAAGTACTGGCACTACATGTGTGCCTGGCTCTCTCTTTTTAAAGCAATACAGTAATACCTCAGTTCACAAATGCTTCTGTTTGCAAACAAAAGTGTTCAACAGAATTTTGCTTCATTTGCAAACTCCACACCAAGTGATAACATCACCCCAGCTATCCTCCCCACACAAATGTAGCCATCTTTCCCAAAATAATTGTTTGTACGATGACATACAATTGTAAATACATGTGATATTTTTTGAAAAATTTGCATAGTACAAAAGGATATACAGTGAAAAATGAATCTCCTTCATAAATTTTTATTTTTTTTTTTTTTTTTTTTTTTTTTTTTTTTGCGATGCTAGGAATTGAACCCAGGGCCTCATGCATGCTAGGTAAATGCTTTACCACTGAGTTGAGCTATACCTCCAGTGCCCATACCTTCCTTTTTGCAGAGACAAGCGTCACTGCCATTTTTTCATCCTGACAGCTATAGTCTGTGCATACTGTAAAAATAATCACCCTTTCCACCCACATAATGCTTTTTTTTTCCTTTTTGGTACTGGGGATTGTATTTGGGACCTTGCACTTGTGAGGTAGGTGACAGCACCACTGAGCTAAATCCTAGCCCCCAAATAGTGCCTTTAAAAAAAAACTTCAGATAAAATGAAATGTACTTTGGATTTAAAGGGTGAGATCTGGATCCCAGACATTATATACATATTATTTAGTATGGAAATCGCTGGCCTGTAACTATTTTAGATGTTCGTATACTCTTTGGCTTTTTGTTGTTGTTGTTGTTGTTGTTGTTGTTGTTGTTGTTGTTGTTGCCAGGCTAGGAATCAAACCTAGAGGCTCTAATCTCTGAACTTCTTTGCAGTAATGAGGATTGACCCCCAAGACTTTTGCCCTGATCTACATTCAATAGCCTTTTTAAAATTTTTCAAACTGGGGGCTGGGGATTTAGCTCAGTGGCACCACACCTGCCTTGTAAGGCACAAGGTCCTGAGTTCAAATCCCAGTACCAGAAAAATGTTTTCTTTGAAACAAGTCTTGCTAAGTCATTTAAGTTGTCCATGCTAAGCTCAAACTTGCAGTCCTCCTGGTTCAGCCTAACACAGTGCTGGGATTATAGGTGTGTACCACGACACTTGGTTTAGATTGTAAAAAAAATTTTTTTTGAGATAAGGTCTTGCTGTGTAGTCCACGTTGGCCTTATACTCACTGTGTAACCCATACTGTCCTAAACTTGCAGTGATCCTCTTGTCTTAACCTCCTGAGTGCTGGGATTACCAGCATTAGCCACCATGCCTGCCTAGACTGTGAATTCTTACAGTAATTAAGATTAAAGTAGATGAAAGAGAGTAGTAAGGGGAACTGACCAGTTCCAACATAATCACTTTAGTAGAAAGATCACTATTTCCTAACAGTGGTTTACAAGGTGTTTTTTGTTTTGTTTTATTTTGTTTTATGGTGCTAGAGATTGAATTTAAGGCCCCACATGCAGTAGGAACTGCTCTATCACTAGCTGTTACACCCCCTATACCTGCAGTGTTTTTCTATCCTAAGAAATCAGATATCTATAATTTAGGAAATAATTGATGAAAATGAAGGTAGAAAACAATTAATGGAAATGAAAATAAGAAAGTCCAAAATGTAAAAAGGAGCACCGTGGGTACACGCGGCATTACAAAAGTTTCTTCTTAGTTCTAAACGTTGTAGTGTATTTGGTAAGCTTATTTCTTATGGGGATACAGTTTAGCAGTTCTGAAACTTCGTCTTGTGGGCCAAGTTGAACACATTAACTAGATAAACTGAAGATAATAAAAGAGTTAGGTTTCTCACTGTCAAAGTAGTTTCAAATTGGCAAGGGGCTAATGAACCACAGGAAGATACTCACAGATGGCCATAAATGCATGTCCCCATGCACTGATAAATAAGTAAATAATATGCATGGGTTAGGATACACAAATATATTTTGTAGCTGTGTTCTCTCAGAAAGCCTAGAAATAGCAATACTGCAGAAGTAACAAGCACACCTAGCACATAAACCATAACTTCTGACCATTCTGCAGTCAACAGAACCTTAGAGAGGTAGCAGATTCTAGGACTGGGGCAGGGAGAATATAAGGTAGCCTGGAGCACACTGTAGTGCTAGAAAGTGTGAATGAGTGAATGGATGGATGGGACATGTGAAGAGGACACAGAACTCTGAAAAGCTTCCAGTGACCAAAGCTGCAACAATTTGAGCAACAAAATAGTGATTAGTATTCATGTGTCTACTTTGATTTACCTTGTGCTCTGCACTCTGGTATTTTCTGTGTCCTATGGAACTCTTAAGTTGAGAAAAGGTTAGCTCCCTTAGGGATTTAAGGTCTTTCAAAGTAGTTATGGGACTTCAGAGAGAAAACTTCTCTGCACCAACAGGATTGAACTCAGAACCTTGCATTTGAGAGGCAGGCTTAGTGCCACTGAGCTAAATCCCCAGTTCTGTGCTCATTTTATATTTGAGAAAATGCAGATCTAGGGAGGCTAGGTAGCTTGGCTAGGGACACACCAGACTCAAGTCAGTTCTGTACTGGGTCCCAGGTTTGTAGGTTTTTAATTCTTACAGTGTGCTGCTCAGGCTGAGTCTACGTCAGCTTGCAGTCTGTGTCTGTGGCAGAGGATCTATCACAAGTGTCACCTGGAGAGATTCGTATACCTTTCTTTTTTTTTTTTTTTTTTAAAGAAAGTTGAATATAATTAGCATGTATTTTCTAGAAATGAAGATACCACAAATTGGTTGAGTTTTGTAAAAAAATTTTATGTTTATAATCTTGACTTTTTCATAGTTCTATGCTTTAAAAATATTTAGCTTTTCTCTTTAATATTAAAACAAATAATATAGTACTGTTACAGTTGATTATATGTAGAAATAAAATTTTTAAATTTGTTTTCCATTATAGAAGAAATTTTGGAATCCATTAGAGCCAAAAAGGGAGACATTGATAATGTTAAAAGCCCAGAAGAAATAGAAAAGGACAAGAATGAAACTGAGGAAAACAACAGTAAAGATGCTGAGAAAAGCCAAGAGGAGCTCAAAGATCAGTCCTTTGAAAAAGACAGTGACGACAAATCACCAGGTGATGATCTGGAACAAGGAAGACCTGAGGGTAAAAGAATTACTTGGTTAAAAAGAAGCATTTTATTAACAACATTTATGAACTCGCCAATTTATTTGCAAAGTGAAAGTGAAAATTTTTACTGCAAATCTCAACTTTGTTTCTAAGGAGATTAGGATACCCTCCTCCCTTGTAACAAGCATAACAGCTATAATGAGTTTTTTATGTTGATAGATTTGTGATAATGCTATACTTGTATCTCTACTTATACTTCTAAGAAGTTGCTGTTCCCTGTGAGATTTGTTGGTGAAAAATTACTGTATTTCTACCAGAACATATACTTGCATGTGATAAAGTATGTTCATCTTTTATTACTTAAAACATTCTTACCTATATTAGACACTTTTAAATAATCTTTGGATTACCTAGTGCAAAAATATCCCAAAATCTAATTGATTTTAAATGACCATTAAATAGAAGCAGGTTTTCTGGTGATTGATCATTTTTGGTAGTTGGTTGAATGTGGCCATTTGTCCAAAAGCAAATTTAAAGAATATCTTTAAAGTTTTGTTGTGCATTTTGCTGTAGAGCCAACAGAAGTTGGGGATAGAGGTAACTCTGTGTCAGCAAATCTTGGCGACAACACAACAAATGCTTCTTCAGAAGAGACTAGTCCCTCTGAAGGGAGGAGCCCTGTGGGGTGTCTCTCAGAAACCCATGATAGCAGCAACATGGCAGAGAAGAAGGTGGCATCCGAGCTCCCCCAGGATGTGCCAGGTACAGAGGGCAGTGTACCAATGCCTCTGTAATGGGGGGAATCCTTCCCTTTGTAGTAAAAGCTGAATGTCACCTGGAACTTTAGAGTATGTGTTCGTTCATGCTGCTTTCTCACAGTGCCATCCCTGATTACTACATTTCACCTAACACCTGAAGTTCCATAAATGTTCTTGCAGTTAGTGCTTGAAACTCATCATACTCCTCATGCTTTTTAAACTTCATTTAGCTCTTTCTGTTTTGTAGACTTATTAATATATTTTATCACTGGACCTGTAAAGGCAGATATTTTGGTTTTAATTACTTAACATATTAGTGGCTCAATGTTGAATGATTTGACCCAACTCTGTATATACTAACAAATTAATTTTATGTTTGCATGTGCTCATGTAGCTTTTACATTTCAAATCGTGTTATGACAGTAAATCCATCATCATAAAACATTTTGCAAGGTATATTTTTATGTAAGTAACCACTTATTCATATGATAAGCTTTTTAAAATTCAAGTTATACCCTAAGTAAGTTATATTACACCAAGAATATTGTTTTAAAAAAACTTTTGGCTTTTTTTAAAATGCAAGAATATTTTTATGATGTGAGCTTATATATGTTTTTCAAAAAAATCAAATGATGGGCTGGGGATTTAGATTAGTGGTGCTGCCACCTGCCTCACCAGTGCAAGGACCCAAGTTCGATCCCCAGTACCAAAAAACAAAAACAAAAAACAAAGAAACCAAAAAACCCAAAAATTCAGATGAGTACTATATTAATATATATGAGTATATATTATATATGAGTACTATATTAATATATGAGTATATTATATATATGATATTATCATATATTAATCATAGTAATCGTACCAAAAACCAAGAGGCATAGCTGAAGAAAATCTTTTAAAGATTTTTTTCCTACATACATGTCATCTGTTTTCAGACGTGAGTATTTGCATTGCTACTCCTTATGTGAAGATATGAATCTGAATGTGTAGGAAGTATTAGTATTTGGAAGACCTGCATTCTGGGTGTACCTCTGCCATTAAGTTAATGTCATTTACTCTTTCAAGAACTCCGTGTTCCTGTTTAGAACATGAGTGATTTCAACAACCAACGGTTTTTCTTCTGGAAGCTTCTTTCACTTGAGCATCTGGTGAAAAGGATATAGAAACAAATTCACTTAGCCTAGAAATCAGGCTGGGCAAGTAGAAACAATGTATTTGTCCTCAGATATTGAGGAGCTAAATCAGGAGCAGGGGAGCAGAGATTAGACATGTTCTTTGATGTAGGGTGTTAGGTCATATAAATAGAAATTATAGCAAATAGTGTCTTGAGTAAATTTTAACAACTTCCTTAAATTTGGACTTGTTTAGGAAATAGAAATAATAAATTTGCTTTTACTACAGGCAATAGTAGGTCCCTATTAGAGATTATTTCAATGAGAGTCCTTTCTTGAAGGGACTTGAAAATTCAGATAATTATAATTTGTTTTAATTAAAAAAAATTTTTTTTTGAGATAGGTTCTTCCTTAGTTCAGACTAGCCTTGGACTCACTATGTAGCCTAGGGTAGCCTCACAGTTATGGCGATCATCCTCCCAAATACTAGGATTACAGGTGAGGGCCACCACACCTGGCTTGATTCACTAATTGTATAGTTAGATTTTTTTAGGACCTGTTTAGTCTTTTTAAAAAATTTTATTCTCACAGTTACACATTCAGGGTTAAAAAAAATGGAGTACTATCACTAAAATAATGTGGAAAAATTCATTTTTATTGGACTCATGGTTATATTTGTCTAATATTTTTGAAAGTGAACACACCTGTGTAACCACATCATGCAACTTCTCAACCACCAGGAACATCTACCCCCACAAAGCTAGTAACTGTTTTGTCTTTTGACACCAATTGGTGGAATGTAATAGCATTTTAAAAATACGGTATTCTGTTATATAAATTGTCCTGATAAATTTTTACTTTCTATATGTTGATAGTTATTTAAATTGTTTCTAGCTTTTGGACCTTTGTGAATATTACTTTACCTGTTTTTGTGCACATATATATCTTTCTAGAGATAAAACATACTTTTGGGTCTCCTGGGCCATTGAGTTTGTATATGCTCATCTTTAGTACTCACTGTGACAGTTTTCCAGAAGACTTACACAAGTTCACACTTCACCAATAGTAAGAGTTTTAGCACCTCTACATGCTTGCTATCACTTGCCTCATCACTGTCACTTCCCCTATTAGCAGGCTTTTGGGAGTGTTCTGCTGGCACATAGAGGTATCTTATTGTGCTTTGTGCCTTCATCTCCTTGGTGACTAAGACTGTTGAGTACCTGTACATGTGTTTGTGTGTATATAAATATATAGGTCACTTGAATTTTCTCTGTTGTGAAGTGTCTTTCATTTCCTTTGTTCATTTTCTGTTAAATGGTCTGGTTTGTTTGTAGTTGTTTCAGAGGAGAGAATACATCTAGTCCCTCTACTCCATTTTGACTAGGAATAAGTTTCTGCATTGATTTTTTTAAAATCAATCTCATATGCATTAAATAAATATAACTTGGTTGCAATGAGTTTTTTCATACAGTTACCGGGGATCTAACTCAGGACCTTGCGCTTGCAAGGTAGGCAGCGGCACCAGTGAGCTAAATCCCCGGCCCTTTTCTTATATTTTACTGCATCTGGTTTAATATTTTAGTTAGAATTTTTCATCTACTATCCTGAGTGAGATTGGCTTGTATTTTTCTTCTCTGATAACATCCATATCAGGCTCTGGCATGAAGATTATTTGTCTTATTCATAATCCTGGTACCTGAAGAGTTTGTGTGAGACTGGTGTTATTTATTTATTAAATATTTGCTAACAGAGTCCGGTTAATGTTGATAAGTGTCTCATTTGGTTAATGTTGATAAATGTCTTGTGTAAACTTGAAGAGCATATATGTTTTCAGTTGTTGGATGTAGTACAGTTTTTAATTGTGTTGCATTCTATATCCCTTGCAGTAGTTTGGTTTTGTGCTGGCAATTAGACCCAGAGCCTTGCACATTCAAGCCCTTATACTAAAACAGCATGTGTTTTATTTATGCTATGCCTCTAGATTTAATGTCTGGGATTAGGAAAATATTAGTAATAGGTAACATTGGCTTTATTTCCACAAAAAAAATTTTTTTTGGCCACAAGGAATTGAACTCTGGTCCTTGTACTTACAAGGCAGGCAGTGGAACCACTGAGCTAAATCCCCAGTCCTCCATAAATATTTTTAATTGCTTTGAACACATTGAAACTCTCATATCCATAAAATTAAACTATAAGAACATACTGATTTAACCTATTTCTTTTTTTATTTCATGGGGGTTTTTGTTTGTTTGTTTGTTTGTTTTGGTACCAGGGATTAAACTCAGGTCCTTGTGCTTGAAAGGCAGGCTACCAAACCGCTGAG